CATGAAAATTTGATACCGGCATATCCCTATTTACACGGCACCCCTGCTCTCGACAGACGGCACCCCGGTTGGGAAACAATGGTGTAGAGCACTTTGAGAAGCTACTTTAAAAGACTCTTTATAAAATAAAGTTTATTATTATTATTATTATTATTATTATTATTATTATTATTATTATTATTATTATTATTATTAATTCATTTAAATGCAGCCGTTACCCCGGAAACCCTGTAAACAAAGCAGCTGCACTACTTTCTGTTTCTGAATCGTGTTTAAATGATTTAAACAGCCATTCAGATTTGTGTATTTGCTATGATGTTCATCACAGCGCCAAATACTTACATATTTAGACTTAATAGGCTATTTATTTTCAAACTTTTTTTACATTTTAATCTGGACTACTACATGCCCTAGATATTGTTTGAAAGTGTTTTGATTCTTTATTGTTCGGTCACACTTTACATTAGGGCTTCATTAATTAACATTATTTAATTCATTAGTTAACATAAACTGCCAATGAAAAATTCTTCTGAACATTCATTAATCTTGGGTAATTACAATATTTAATAACGCGTTGTTAAAATCTAAAGTTGCAACTGTGTTATTTAATGAGCTAATATGAACTAAGACTTGTATTTTTTAAACAAGGATTAATAACTTCTGTAGCAAATGTAGCTATTGTTCATTGTGAATGTTAATGCATTAACTAAGGTTAACTAATGAGGTCTTATTGTAAAGTGATACCTATTGGTCTTTATAGTTCTTTTGCACTTTAATCTGTGTAAAACTTTTAACTTTGTACATTTTTCTGTATTGCTTTATTGCATTTAAATGTTCAGTTATTTTTGTTATAAGAAAAAAGTTATTAAACCTGTTATACTGTATGACAGCACTTTTTTTTTAACTTAATTTCAATATCGTGATAATACCATATACCGTAATAAAAGCATTAGCAATTAATCGCAACATGAAAATTTGATACCGGCATATCCCTAGTCTCTATGTTGTACTGACATGCTGCTTGCCAAGCAGGCCTACAATGCGGGGAGATTTACTACCGTGTCATGGCGAATAAAAATATGACTGCATTCAAGGTGAAGTAGTTTGAGTCACTGTTTGTACATTACAAAAAACAAACATTCTAAAATAAACATCAGTATGCCTTTTTCACTAATCTTATAATGTATATTGTTTAAAATGGTATAACAAATGTAAGTAGTTTTCTTTTGTAGAATGTTTGCTACTTTTTTTTGAAAGCCTGTAAGGTGACCTTTCAAACAAAAAAAGTGGTTTAACATGCTAAGGTTAAGTAAGTAAATCTGTTGTTTGCCAGTGAACCACGACAAGAGAAGAAGTGGTGTTTGTTTCTTTACAAAAACAACCTTTTGCAAGTTCTCTTTAATGTCTGACAGGAGATATCGAAGGAGAACCCATTTGAGGATCCCATGGTCCTCATGCAGAAGTTTGAATTAAAGATGAGACAAGCTGTTCCTAGTGGAAAGAGATGGGGTGGATGGACATGAAAAGATGACACATTTCTTTGTTCAGCAGATCAGATTGGGATGCCGCAGCTCGTAGTTTCAGTTTTCCTGCCACTGTGGTGTAGCTCAGCTCGCTTCTGCTCTCTCTTCTTGCGGTTGTGTTTGTTTTCTCAAAAGCTGTCGGCTTTCCGTGCATGAGACACACCTGCAGTCTATACCACAAACTCAAGACTGTCAAGTACAGAATCTTACAGATGAATATTACAAATGCAATACGACTGAAAAGGAAAATGATCCAGTGAGTGAAGCAGAAACAGAGAAATGTCTTTGAAAATCAACTTTGAGCCAGTTGTAAAACAGTGTTATGCCATGACAGCTTGATTTGTGCTGTGGAAACCTAGATACTTCTCTGACCACAGCAAAATAAATGTCAGCTACAATGTAGCTAGTCAGCTACATTTAGATGGGTTGTTCATCATATTTTGTTTTCACAGGCCAACCTGAATGACTCTCATAATCAAATGGTCGTCCACTGGGCCGGAGAGAAGAGCAATGTCATAGTAGCGCTCGCGAGAGACAGCGTTGGTGCCACAGATCCCAAGAGCAGCTCGGTGAGTATATCGTTTTTTTTCCCTAGATCATTTCATAACTTTGACTTTCAAGATTGTATACGAGTCTATATATATCAGACTATTCACTGTAAGATACAGAGAATATCTTTACCGGCTAGCTTTGCTTTTTAGTGCTCTCTGAGTCATACAGATGAAAGGCCCCCCTCTGTTTTTCAGTTCCCTGCACTTTTATTATATCATCTTAAATGCTGCCGGATCTAACTCGCTGCGCTTACTGTAAAGACTCTCTTGCACCCTTGAATGTTACTTTTCCATCTGCATGGCAATAATTGCTAAGTTTTCAATAATTGCAGAGCATTATCTAATGCAAATGCGAGAACAAAAGTGGTGCGGTCGTACTTTATGGGGCGCTGGAGCTGTTATCTGCTCACCCGTGTAGTGCGTTACAGGTGTTCTTTGTGAAATGCAAGACAAAGCAAATCAAAGTAAAGTTCACCAGTTTCTCATAGGAAATTGCAAGTGATTACAGATGAGTGTATTACAGAAATGATCTGTTCCAAAGGCAGCGCTTTTTCAAAAGATTAACTGCCTAATTATGATCACTTACATTCTTTGAGCCAAGTTCTAGTAGATTTACATGTATCCTCTTTGGAGAAGACAATCTCAGAATGCAGTCTGTAAAATTTTGCATCCAATATGTCAGACACATGAATTAAATCAAATACACTTAATTGTCCTTAAAGGGAAATTTGTCTTTTGCTGCGTCCCAATTCGCCTACTCATACTATTCCCTAAAAGTATGTACTCTTTTTGTGAAGAAGTATATACTTTTGAGTATGTAGCAGAATAGTATCCAAGCTTTGGGACATACTACTTTGTCATAATTGCGTCTATAAGGGACACTCTGTTGCTTAGTTATGTGCATTCTGTCAGTGTTTAAACTGCCCTGTCAATCATCTTGTCACAGTTAACATCATCCACATTTCATTTAATTTGATTTCCTGCGGTATTGAAGAGAAATAAAGAGACACGTTGATCTGCCAGTTGTAGGTTTATGCAGATAACTTTCCTTATGTGTTATAATGATGATAAAAGTTCAGCGTTGTTACCGATGAAATATAATGAGGATAACATTAAATAAATAATTTTTTATCAGGTTAGATAATGATTATTTATCACTCAAACCTTTTCTCTACCTGTCCGTCAGTCTCACATGCCATGTTTGTAGATTTTTTTAAAGGGGTCATATGATGCGATTTCAAGTTTTCCTTTCTCTTTGGAGTGTTACAAGCTCTTGGTGCATAAAGAAGATCTGTAAAGTTGCAAAGACTAAAGTCTCAAATCCAAAGAGATATTCTTTATAAAAGTTAAGAGTCAGCCACGCCTACCTAAAACGGCTCGTTCTAACACGCCCCCACACTGTAAACCCGAACAGTACTACTAACTTATAAAGATTAAGAACACTGCAATTAAAGTCTGTTAAATCGTTGATGCAACTTATAACAATT